GCTAGTCCCATACTGCCACGCCATCAACTCAGTCGGCATATCTGGCCATCCAGGATGAGGATAAGTAGACGGAACCGGAGGAACCGGTCTACCCCCACCTCTAGATGCACCAGCCCCGCTGGAAGAAGGGGCGTCTGCAGCCCGAGCCCGGGCCTGGCCCGAGGATGACATACCGGCAGGCCTCGTCATCGGGGTGCGAGCTCCCGTCAATGGAGGCATCAAATATATGTGACGCGGCATGGAGAAAAGGGAGATGTAGCGGAGTACGGCTCAGCGTGAATAGTGCATTCAAACCGAAACCCCGGAAGTTCAGCTTTTCCGAGCCATCTAGAGAAGAGATCCAAGATGTGAGATTTTCTGCGAGAAATGCCTCTATCTTTGTCTAAAACTAAGATGAAAGGAATGTTCCCGAAGTTGAGGCTTTTATAGAAGGAAAAACACTATTCACGGGGACACGTGTCAAAAACTAGGTGGCTGCAGGAATAGATGGCTGGCCGGCCACCTTTTCTGGCTGGTCAGCCATTCTCTTTTTCAAAAACTGGCCGGCTGTCTCTCTCCATAAAATTGGCCGGCCGGCTCCCAAAGGTGGCCGGCAATGCTGCAGTGTATCTCCTTGGCCCTGTTTTACTCTTCGAGGGAAAGTTTTAAGCATTTCCATGCAACGGGAGAGTCAAAGGCCTTCATCTCCCTCCGTTTCGGATGCGTTCCGGTGCCCAGATCGTCCGAAATACACTCTGTTATTGCTGGGTTTTGTTTATCGAGTTGTTGTTTTGATTATCGAGTTGTTGTTTTGCTTATCGAGTTGTTTGTCGAGCGGACATGTTTTCGTGTTTTCGAGTCATTGCTCTCTGTTTAAACAATCTTTGTTTAAGTCTTGTTTATTTGCGTTGTCAACACTGTTATTTTTGCTTATCGAGTTGTAAACTTCCTAAGGTTCTGTTATCTCTTAGTAAGTTGAGTTGCTTAGTTTGTTGCGTCGGTTCACTACCTGACTTGGTGATTACACAATGCACATTCCCATTCACTTTCATTTTTGTGCAAAATAAAATGATGCGATACGATGCTAAAAGTTTAAAATACAAACACCTTTTTAAAAGCTATTTCATTCCATCATGCTTTACAACGAACAAAGGTACAAGTTTTACAAAAAATAAAACTGCCTAACAATGTGCAAAGTGCTACAAATTACTAGCAAAAAGAAAAATAAAGAAGGAAACAGCAGCATCAATGTCCTCGGGAGTGGGAATGAGAAGCACTCCTCATCCTCTTCTGCGGGACAACCTCTGCACCATCATCATCATCTTGGTCGGAGATGTCATCCTCAGGATCCCCCTCAGCCTCGCCTCTGTTCCCCGAACCAAGACCGGGGCCCCCCTCCTCGGCAGATGTCTCTGATTGACGGTCGGTAGCCTCCTCCTCCTCCTCGTCATCCTCCTCCTCCTCCTCCTCCTCCTCATCAGGCTCCGCCTCTACAACGTGAGCCCAGCGTCTGCGGACAGGCCCTCCTCGAGCTCCTCGAAAAGGCCTAGATGGCCCGGCTCCTCGGAAAGGCCGGGATGGCCCAGCCCCCTGAAAAGGCCCGGGTGACCCAACTCCCTGAAAAGGCCCAGACGGCCCAGCTCCCCAAGGAGGCCCAGGTGGCCTAGCCTGCGGCTGACCGGACCATGAAGGCATCTGAAAACAAAGAGTTCAATTCAAATACATCAGTTCAAATATATACATCAGATGCAGATACAAGCAAAGGCTACGTGAAGTAGGTGCATGTAAATATAGTGTACAAGTGGGGTGTGTGTCAGATGTGCTCTACACAAGTAGTCTATCGATGCAGTAGAAATCAGCATGTCATCAGAAGTATGATAAATGCCAGAAAACTGAAGGGTACCTGAATGCCCGCGACAGACAACTGTGCCTCCCTCTGCAGGGACCATGCCCTCGAGTGTGGCCACCAGTCCAACCACCTCCTCCATGTACCCTCGTGGTGGCTGCAAAAATGAGCTCATAATCATCAGTGAATAAAAGAATGTCTAAACGTCTGAATGATGAATGAAAAACAGTGGAGCATACCAGCGGTGAATCAGGATCAATGGCGTATCGATCACTGGGCATCGGAGGCTCTAGCAGGATCGGAGTCGGGGCAATAGCCCCATACTGCCACGCCATCAACTCAGTGGGCATATCTGGCCATCCAGGATGAGGATAGGTCAACGGAATCGGAGGAACCGGTCTACCCCCCACCTCTAGATGCACCAGCCCCGCTGGAAGAAGGGGCGTCTGCAGCCCGAGCCCGGGCCTGGCCCGAGGATGACGTACTAGCAGGCCTCGTCATCGGGGTGCGAGCTCCCGTCAATGGAGGCATCAAATATATGTGACGGTAAGTGGCATAGTCCCCCTCCTCAAGATATAGTAAAGCATCACTACCCAGCATGGCGCCGACTACCTCCGAGAAAGAGAGCCTGTCAGCAGTCCGCATACTAACTGGGGGTACTGCGGGAGGATCCTGAGAAAGATACCCCCATACCTGACGCAAAAAGCGTTCCCCCAGAAACCATACCCTGCCAACCGGCCCTTCGAGCAGGACCCTATACTGGGAGGTGTCCGACCCTCCGGTATACTGAAGTCGAAGACCATCACCCAGGGGCGCCCAGGGCTGCCATGTAATCTGAGGATAACAAACGCATAAACCAATCAGAAATCGGGAATATACAGAGCAAATCAAAGATGAAAATGAAAGGAACTGAAAGTTCTGAAGTACCTCCGAATGCCGCACAGTGTCAAAGTACTGTCGCAGGTAAAGGAGAGTCTCTCGAGGTCTCGGCCGGTGCGGGCCCTCGAACACTAGTGAGTATGGGGTCATGGGAACCCCTGCCACCTCCAACTCTGGGGCTAATGCTGGGAAGTATACATAGACCCATAGCTGAGAAAAGCAGTGCAGAATGTAAGTACGAAATGCTGAGAGCAAAATACAGACTGTAAAAGTGCGTTGTGTGTGCAATGTACAAAGAAATGTAAATCAAGGGGACAGAAAAGTACCTCCCAGGCTCTCCAGTAGCCGCCAAGTAAATCGCCCCGCCCGCGGGAGGTCGCGCTCATATAAAAGTAAAGGGTAGCCAGGCCGGCGCCACCCCAGTCATATCGATGGACCTGTGATAGGTCAACCAGAGCACTCAGCAGGTATAGCCCGACGGTGTTCCCTCTGTCGGCGAACAGGGTAGTCCCGAAGAGGAACATAAGGAAACCACGGGCGTACTGCTCCGTCCCCTCAGGAGTCTCGGGCACTATCTCCGCCCGCCGGAAGTGGGAAGAGAACCAAGTGTATCGGACTCTCCCAGAAACCCTATCAACAGGCGGGCGAGCCCCCAATAAATACATCCAAGTGGCCTCCCACTCGCCCATGTCCTCATCATAGGGGATGGACCAACCTCCTACGTCCAGGCCGGTCAACACAGCGAAGTCCAGAGGCGTCATGGTCATGTCTCCAGTGGCAGAGAAATGAAAGGAGTTGGTGGTGTCCCACCATCTCTCTACCAGTGCCGCCATCAGTGTCCTCCTGGCAGGACAACGTGACAACCCGACGCAGAAGGGCCCGAACCCAGCCAAGTCTACCAAATCTTGGACACCCTCCGGGAGCTCAGCGTACCAGTCCCGCGCGGCGGTGGAACCATACCCTCGCACACTGCGAGAACCAACCTGCATTCAGAATGAATACATGTGTCAGAATGAAATAAATGGGCTGTGTGCCAATGGAATGTGTGGGCTGCGTGTTCACTATTCTAATCTGGGCTGCGTGTTCAGAAAATTTGAAGTTTGGGCTGCTCTTACACACAATTGAAGTTGTTTTTTATTACATTCATAAGAGAAAACTTGAAAGTACTAATAAAACAATAAATCTAGGGCATAGTCAAATCAGGTGTTCCTGCGCCCCCTCCCAGAACTGGTCGAAGCCTCAGATGCTAAGCTGGGCCCGATCTGTGCTTCTTCATTGAGCCAATCTATGCACTCATCAGACAAAGTGCAACTGAAAGTAGGAGCGAGGGCCAAGAGTTCTCTCATCCTCCATGCGGTGGCCTGCCAAGCAAGCTGTGCGCCTCGGGCTGGGAATGCAGCAGGATACTCTACCCCCTCTGGCGGGCAGGTCTGATCATGGCCAAATTGGTGTCGAATCCGAAATGGGAAATAGAATACACAGTGAGTGAGACCAACCAGTTAAATCCCAGTCTGCCGAGGCATGTTATAACTCATCGCCGGAAGGTTCAGCCAAGGGCACCGCCAAGCAATACGGTCTGCGGACAAGTGGCACATCCAAGCGAACCACCATCCCTCATCCAAGGCATTGACTAGACGGTGCCGGAAGAAGTAGCCGCGAGCTGAATATGCTGTGCAGGACTCCACAACTTGTAGCTTATCCATCAGCCACACCTGGGGAGGGATTGAAAAATGAGAGATTAAAGAATAGAGAGATGTACGAGGAGAGAAGAGTGAGAATGGGGTTTTTGTGAGAAAAGACCGAGCTTGAGGGCCAAGTGATGTGAGCAATACATGAATGCGAGATTGGGTGGGAAACATTACCTGTAGTAGTAGTGGACTTCCTGCTAATCTGGTTGTCTCATGGCGATAAAAGGCGTCTAAGCCCATTAACGTCCCGGCCAGAGCCATGGCAATACAGCTTTTGCCCTCTCTCAAGCCTTGGGCGACCTCGATCAGCCGGACACTAGCCCCTCCAGAGCCCGAGACAAATAGAAAATGGGATAGCATGCATAAACAGAGGGCATGCCG